GACCCAGATGCCGGGGAGCGGGCGCCGGTTTCCTGTTTTGTTTTGCTTTTGGCCGCACGTCGGCCCTCTTTCCCCGGAGGCCTTGCCTAGAGCACTCGGCCGTCTTTGGGTTGCATGCGCGGCTTCCTGCCCCGGAGACTTTGACTTGCTTTCTTTGGCCCAGCCCCTTTCTTCTTTTCCACAGCCCCCCACCCCCACGCGTCAGCACCCGGTGGACCCCCTAGGTCGGCCGCCCCAGCAGGTGGCACGGGGGGCTTCTTGTTCTGAGAGGTGGGGAACGTGCTGGGAAGGCGCCTGAAGTTTCACAGGCCCGGGCTCCAGTCCTCACCTTCCTCTTTGTTTTCCTGGAGCCGGGCCCGGTGATTCTTGCTCAGCCTCAAAGTTTATAAAAACAGGCCCCAAAGTTGTTTAGGAAGTGAACGTCCATTTTGGTCTCTGCCGCGGGGAACAGTTAACCGTTTAAAGTTTACACGTCAGCTGGGGGAGCTTTTCCGCCAGACTTTGTTCTCCTGAGGGGCTGACGTGGTCGCACTGCTTACACACAGCGTACACGCAGCGGTCCTCAAACCTGCATGAGCCTGAGATTCTAATGCAGTAGGTCTGGGGTGTGGCCGAGGACGTGTGTCCCTAAGGGGCCCCCGGGTTGTGCCGGTGCTGCTGGTTGGGGGCCGTCCTGGGAGCACCTGCCCCAGTTAGATCCCCTGCGGAGGGCTGAGAAGTGACCTCTGGGGCTTCGTCATCCCGGGTGCAAGTCAAGGAAAGTGTCCCATGGGCGGAGCCCAGACACCAGCATTTTTTGGTTGCCCAGGTGATGTGAATCTGTGCTTCAGAGAAGACGTTGGAAGAGGATGGCACCCATCTTTTCAGAACAGTTGGATGGGATGGTGCCCCGAGTACTGTTCTAAACGTTCTCATCAAATATCCATGAGGAGGTTGTGCTTTGCCGCTGGTGGTACATCTGACTGTCTCAGACTCGGAATGATGAGGTGGAAGAGGGGGGCGGGGATGGGCATTCTGTTCAGGAGAGTTCTTTAATTTTGCAGCTGCTTCCCTGCAGGGTTGCGGGTAAGATAGAGGCTTCGTGGGAGCCACAAAGCCCGCGGTAGTGAGCACTCTTCTAAGTGGTGTCCAGTGCTGGCCCGAGGTCAGCAGTCTGCAAGGGTTAAAAGGTGATGATCGAGTCGGCTCTGGGGTTCACACACCTTTTGTTCCAAAAGTAAACAGACCTGACTAACGCTGTCTAAATCCAGCCTATGTTTCATGGTACCCACGGGATTTGAAGTTCTAGCTGTAGGGGGAATACCCTGTTATTCTAATAGAATAGGGGAGAAGCTTTTTGCTTTTTTATGAAAACCACAGAACATAAGATGGAAAGTCGCAGAGGATTGTCAGGAGTTTGGCGCTTCCGCATTTAATTAAGTCAATCAGAAGCTGTCAGGATGTGTTTCATGAATGGTGACTCTCAGCGGAAGGTCACTTTGCTGGAGTTGTGCATTCCAGGTGCATCTGAAGAATGGCTCGTGTGTCTGGGAGTTGAAGGATGGTTAGCTGCTGTCCCAGGCGCAGGCCGGAGAAGCGCCCCAGCACAGCCGCAGCTGAGTGGGGGTGACAACACACAGGCGAGCGGATCTGCACCACAGTGAACAGGAAAGTGCATTCTGCTGAAATCTGACTCTCATCAGAAAAACAGCCTGAGAACATAACACCTTGTACTGCTGCTGGTGGAGTAGGCAGTGAAAACCTGGGCTGGATTGAGGAGGGCCGTGGGAGTGGGTTCTCACAGTGCCAGGAGGCGTGAGCTGGCCCTTGGCCTACAAGCCTAAAAGAATTCGAGGCCTTTCTGATAAAGTAGGTATGTCCAGAAGCGGGATTCGTGTACGATACAATTGCCTTTTTCAGATGAGGGAGAATTTTCAACTGCAGGAGATGAGTTGAGAGAGAGACCTGATTTGCCTTGTTTTGTTTCAGATTTTCCCACCAGGAGAAAATTCCTTTCAACCTATAGGATTCAGGATTCTGAAATCAAAACAGTGGTTTGTATGTTTCAGGGTGGCTGAACAAAGCGGAGTGATGGCGTTTGATTGTTGTTTTTCCAGAGCTGTGTGGGCATTATGGCAAATACCCTCTGAGGAAGGAAAAAGACTATTTTTAAGCAAAATAGATAACTACAATGGATCCATTGTGCCAAAACCACATTAAAGAGAAAAAAAAAGGACTGCACGCTAAATGGATTTCTAGTAAACTCATTTGAGCAGAGAGAACAGTAGACTAGGGGAGACGAGGATGTCATCTTAATTAATGTGGCAGCCAAATTGCGTTCTGCGGAGCCAGGAAGGGACCCTTGAGAAGCTCAGAAGGAACACTCACTGCTGTGTCACTCACGTATGCGCGTCGACGTTGGTTTGTGGTGCCCGTAAATAAAAAGTTCCCGGGAGAGAAGTGTCTTCCAGGAGCATGGTTAGTGGAAGCAAGACTTGCAAGGCATTTCTTTGAAGATGAGATGGGAAATGGGCTTCCTGGGTCATTGGGTGCCCTGCCCTGGCTCTCAGAAGTGGCATGTGTTTCCACATCCAGCTCCTTGGGTTCCGCATGGGAACCCTTCATTAGTTATGCTGAAGCAGAATCATTTGGGGTCATTTGGGTAGTGTTCGGTATTTGGATAAGCAGTGACCAGGAGGTAAGGTTCCAGCCATGTTTACAGCTGTTTTCGGCAGAATTGGCAATGGGGGGTGGGATTTCAATGCTAGAGCCAATTAAAAAGTTAGTACCCCTTAGTTTTACGTACAGATACATGTGTGTGTCTGTATGCAGTCCAGAGCAGGTGAACATGTAACCCTAAATTATCCGTCTCACTTAAGAGTAAGGAGAAGCTTCCTTGCCGTGCATTTTGTGAGTATGCGTGTGGAAAAATCTAACCTATCTGTTCAAGTGTCATTGTTTGGAAACTGGAACGATGCTTCTGAATTTACTGTGCTCGGAAAGTGTTTTTCTCTTTTTTTCATTGTTTTAAATTGAAGTATGGTTGATTTACAGTGTTGGGTTAGTTTCTGGTGTACAGCATAATGATTCAGTTATGCAAATATATATTCTCTTTCATGTCCTTTTTAATTATAGGTTATTATAAGATATTGAATATAGTTCCCTGTGCTCTACAGCAGGACCTTGTTGTTTATCTATTTTGTATATAGTGGTGTGTATCTGCTAATGCCAAACTCCCGATTTCTTCCTCCCTCTCCCCTTCCCCCACTGGTGACCATAAGCTTGTAAAACAGCTTTTTCAAATGAACTTTATGAATCTGGTTGTTAGGATTACAGCGTGGTGTAGACCATAAACTGTGCTATTTCACTGTTCCTCTTTAGTAGGGTGTTTGTTCTAAAATTGGTTTATGTGTATGTATAAGGCAGATTAGATAAGAATTGCCCCTGAAAGCATCTGTATTTAAATTTGTTTGATGAAAGGACTATTTAGTCACATCCCAGGGTGAAAGAATTATGGGATAAGAGAAATGTTTCGGAAGGAAGGACGCAATCACTGTTTATGTTTCAAAGCATCGCCTGTTGAAGTCTTAAAGCAGAGGACTTACATATTTTTAGAGCTCCAGTGAGATGGCTTGACAAACCACACACGCTTTCTTTTTTCTGCCCTGCCTGCGTTTCCGCTTGGCTTGGCTGGCTCTTGTCATCAGGAGATAGGCGTGTGCGCTGTTCCTGCCCCTTCCCCGGGAACGACGACTAAGGTGCTAATGCAAACACACCGGCTTTCGTGAATGAAAGTCACGTGACTTGTTCTAGTTCCTTTATTGAAAGAGAAACGTTTACAAAAATAGTGCTTCGGGGAGGGAAGCATGCCCTGTGGGACACTAACCCAGGAAGCAGGAAACCTGGTTCCTAGCTCCTGACCTTCCTGAGTGGTGTGTGAGCAGAGGGAAGCCGTCCAGCTGCTCTCTCACTTTCTCTGTCTGTGGAATGGGCTAGTTGGCACCTGCTCCTCTGGGTCCCAGGGCCGCCGGGAGGCCCCGGAGATTGTCAGCGTCCGGAGCGGTTAAGGTCTTCTACAAAGGAAAATAAATCCAGGAATGCTGTTGATACTCTTTGCCTTGAAACCACGAGTACATCCAGGAAAGACACTTGTGTAAATGGGTGTTCTTAGATTCAAAACCAAACCAAACCAAACAAAAAGCTCATAGCTGTCTGAAAACAGAGCCGGTACCT